GACCTGCTGAACTTAGTAGCACGTCCGATAGTAGGAAATTAGGCTATTAGAACAATTTTGCATAGCAATCCACATACAACTTTTGATATTTGCTCAATAGTAACTTTTCACAAAACCAATTTAATCTCCAGGGCGTTTAGCCTAGGCTAAGAAGGGCAACATGAATTTGTTCTCTTCTGTGGTAAAATCCAAACCAGAGGCATCATTGACAAACGATGGAGAGCAGGGGAATAACAGCCCTTTCTCCACTGTTTCAGACACTATGCTCACTAAACAGCAAGCTTCTTAGCCTTACGATGATTGAGTCTTCATACTAGGTATCAGTGCTACATCTTCCAAAGCAAAGTGTCTGCTTGCCTATGTAATATTGCTAGTCAGAATTTTTCTTATTGTGCATAGCCTTAAATTTCCCAGTACAACAATTTGTTTTTTGCTGTCAAGTCACAGCTGATTTATGGCGACCCTGTGGGGTTTTCAGGGCAGGAGACATTCAGAGGCGGTTTGCCAGCGCCTGCCTCCACCTCACGACCCTGGTATTCTCCCATCCAAATATCAGCCAGGGCCGACCCTGCTAGCTTACGAGATTCTCCTGACTAGCGTGGGCTACCCAACTATCGCTTTGAGACTTAATTCGGAGATATCTGTATACGGGGCGTTTGAACGTTACTAGAAATCTTAACTCCGTCCCCCCAAAATCTGAAACTCCCAACGAGTATTATGGGCCTCATTCGTGAATGAATTTTAAACGATCAAAACCGCAAGCCACCACCTTCTGTGCCATTTCCCCCAGAAATAAAGAGTACAAGAACAACGACACGGTAAAAATTACCACAGGAAAGTGGTAAACGCTCAGGGTGAGGAGCGAGCCCGTTCTGGGGGCCCTCTGGAGAAATCCGGCCGCGAGGCCCGCCCTTCTGGGTGAATTCCTCGGCGCCTCCTTAAGTCTCGGCCCAGCCTCCGGCACCTCCCCGCCCCTCCTTCCCCGCCAATTCGCCAAACTCCTAGTACGAAGTTTGAGGCCAGCGGGGTTTTCCTTGAGTTAAGGAACTGTTTGTGGCGGCTGCATTGAGGTGCAGGAGGACCCGCTGGGACCCCCCCCCCCACGCCATGGCCTCGGCCGAGCTGGCCCAGAAGCTCCAGCGGCGATTGCTGCGGGACGGGAGTTGCTCGGAGCCCACTCCCGACAAGGAGGAAAGCGAAGAGGGGGTCAATCTGGGAGGCGCAGCGGCGGAGGCGGCGGCGGGCTCTCAGACCAGCCCTGGAGACACGGACGAAGACCGGAGCGTGCTCAGCGCCGCGGCCGACCCGGAGCTGAGCGCCAAGTTGAGCCGCCGGCAAGACATCAATGCGGGCGCGGCTCGGCCCCGCTTCGCCCAAATCTTCAATCCCTACACCGAGTTTAAGGAGTTCACCCGCCGGCAGATCAAGGACATGGAGCGCCTGTTTCGACTGTAAGCACCGCCCCCGCCCTCCCCCCCCCCACTCTTGAGTCCGCTGTAGGGTTTCCTTTAATTTCAGAGGGATTTCTGCCCAACTGCGGCTGTACCCTAGGCAGGCTGCATCGCGTCTGGTCTGGCTGGAAATCATGTCGCAGGCATATTTAAGACTGCGGCTTCCTTGAGGCGCACTTCTAAGTACAGTCGGTCAAAGATGCATCCCCCCAGTGTGGGTTTTTAAAGCTCCGTGTACACGCGTTTAGGATTGCAAGCATTCAGCACGACCCTGTGTACGTTTACTCAAAAGAAAGTCCTTCTGGTTCAGTGGGTTTTACTCCCCGGAAAGTGTGGTATGATTCTTAACTGGGGCCGGGGGCGGGAGCAGTTTCTTTGGGCAGTCACTGGCTCGTTAAGGCAGGTACTGCGAGCACGTGCTCGGTCCGCTCATGTTCTGGGCGGCTTCACGCTAACAGCGGCCGTTGATTTAATAAATTGAAAAATCTGTCCCTTCCCCGTGGACATGCTGCCCGTGGCCACGTACAGAAACTGGCTGGTCAATCCACAGAGAGCTTAAAAAAGCGCAGCTTTCACAGTGCAGTCCTAAACAAGACTTACACCCTTCGAAGCTTGTTGACTTCAGTGGAGTTTGAAGGGTATAGTGTGAATAGGAGCGAACCTAAAATCTGAAGAGCTGGAGGCCCGTCAGGTTTTTAAAGCACGAATTGTCTTCGGCAGCAGCACTTTCTGAATAGAGGGAGTTCTGGATTATGTTGTCCTGTCCGAAAGTGGGGAAAGTGTTGAGTACTCTGGTGGAAGTGCATGCTACCATATAGATACATGCACTTTCCCCCTTTATTGCAGTTGGTGTACATAATTCTTACAAAAGGAAAGAAGAAAGTACTGCATTTTACATTCCCTGCTGAGTTGATAGCATAAAAGTAGGTTAAAGTCTTCACCTTGCAGACCTGGAAGTGTTGTGTAAACCTCATCACCACTTAAGGTTTTTTTCTTATTTTTTCATTGAACCTGTGCTCTAGGTTTGAAGCAGTGAATACTTGAGATCAGTGCCTTTTAAAAGTCCTGTTGCAACAAAGAGCTTGACCTCCCCCAGATCTGCAAAGTCAACTGCAGTTATATTTAGCATGTTCCTTTCCAAGTCATGAAAGGTGACTATTTGTCACATTTTCCAATGATGCTAAAAGGCTCATTGAAAGATGCTCCAGGTTAGTTTTAATAAATTAATAAATTTAATAATACTACATGCTCCAGGTTAGTTTTAATAAATTAATGGTGCAGTGTCACTGCTTGAGAAAAATCTCCATTGAATTCAAAAGGATTTACTTCCAAATACATCTGCATAGGATTAAGACTGTTCTTGGTGAAGTAATTTGACAGTCGTGACTGCACTAAAGAACAATACATTGTCTTAATAATTTGTGCTGATAGCTTAGGTTGTGTTACAGGTGAATTACTTAATGGGCTCTGAAAATGCAAATTGAACTTCTCTGTTTACTTCCGATAGGGTAATGTAAGCAAGACTAAGCAGGGCTAGAAGGAAAAAAGTTTGTGGCTGCAGCGTTAAAAGTTGAACTGAGTAGATCACATCTACACAAGTCTGAGGCCTGTAGCATGTAGAGACATCTGGCATGTAGAAACCTCCATCAGACATAATGACAAATAAGGCTTGTCATTTGTGCGAATGATGCAGTCCCCCCCCCCCCCCCCTAAAAAAAATTAATTTGTCACTGTTTCCATACAGCAAATTACGGATTGGATTTTGCAGAAATTCCCCCGAATGGAAGGAAAACAGTTTTTGCTAATTCTCCTCTCATGCAGTTCTTGGGGGTCCCGTGTCCCCTAAGAACAGTCTTTTGGGCTGTAGTGGCGAGGGAGGGGCAAAGAAGTCCCATTCTGCTGCAGGAAGTCCTTTCTGTCATCAGAGACTTGCAGTTTGTTCTCTTCCCTATGAGCTAAGGTTTGTAATCAAGCATTGAAACAAAATTTGGAATCCTGGTTTGTAGGGAACAAAACAAATTGTAGCATGTGGTTTAGATTTAAAGACAAACTATGGTTTGCCACAGAAGTCTTAGTTGTGCACAAATAAAGAATGCTTAGGGATCCCCCCCTGGCCTGACCAGGAACATGAGAAAACATGGTTTGGTATGTCTAAAGCATGCCATAGTATTTTTTTTTTAAATTAATCTCTTCAAGTTTTGTGTTGACATTACCTGTATAGTGTAATCTGTCTAATAGTGGTTCCAGCAACTTTACTTCTGGAATATTTGTGTTTCCTTAGAGCACCTTTAGAAGATCTGTCATTATGGCTCTTTAGCCATTCTTTCTCCTTGATATCTCATATAGGAGGTAAAACCAGGATTAGGTGCTAAATACAGAGTTAATCCCATATTTTGAGATAGAAATTTGGGGCACAAAGTATGTTCCAAGTTTAGGGAAGGGAGATTGTGTATCCTGGAGAATATGAGAAGACTGAAAAGGAGAATTGTTTTCTATTTCACTTCCCTAGAGACAAGAAACTAAAATAGATTCCCCCCAAGCCATCAGACAGCCGTACAAAACCACATTCAAGAAGTAGTTCACTTGATCTTGGATGGGAGGGGGGAGAAACATGTACAGAAGATCACAACTGACTGGCAATAGGCAGTAATTCGAAGATGGTTTCTGTGTTCAACCCTTCATACTTCACACCCTTTTTGATAGACAGTTTTTGTCTTGAAGGAGCTGACTGGTAATAAGTTGTTATTTTACTCAAGATGGAATATATTTGCCTACCCGAATGTGGGGAGCAGGAATTGCTTCCTGCCAACAAGGAAGGGAAGCTTTTGTAAAATTAGAGCTGGCTTGTTTTTTTCTTTAATGATGTTAATGTGCTGCAAATGTTATACATATGGGCTACTAAAAATGTTGTTGGCTAGTAACTTTTGTGAATTTGTTTGCCAACCAGCTTTACCTGTGTTTCCAATAAACATCTTGAGGAATTCGGGAAAAGACATGAAGAAATATTTAGCAGCATTTTCTAAACAATTCTTTATCCCAGAGCCTCCTTGCTGTGGCAAGATTCTAAATGTCATCAGAAGTTCCTGACCTAGTTTTCTGCTACCTTTCTAGATAGCTCTGTCTAATCTATGGTAATTTGTCAAAGTACAAATTAGGTAGAGCTTAAAATGTGTTTGCGTGCTAGGATAGGTATGCAGGAATGGTGCTAGGATAGGTATGCAGGAATGGGTGGCCATGGCCTTTGCTTACCAAAGATACTCTGATGGCTTGTCTTCTTAACATGTTCTCAGTGGAACAAATTTAGAGTCCAGTGGCACTTTTAAAACCAACAAAAGTTTATTCAAGGTATGAGCTTTCGTGTGCAAGGCATGTTCTCAGTGGTCACACAGCTTTATTTTGAGCTACAGCTATTGATGCCTCTACCTCTTCCTTCCCAGTTTGACAGAGAACTCTGTTTCAACAGTGATTGTGCTTTAACCATGATCCTATTGGTACTCTGCTATATAGCCCTACTTGAGGTAAAGGAGGGGCTGCCTTTTTTGCCAGTGTACCAGAGGGCTCCACGCAACTGCAGTACTCGCTGTGTAAGTCCAGAGATAGAGCCAAGAGAAGAGAAGAGAAGAAGAGATTGGGTTTATACCCTGCCCTTCACTACCCGAAGGAGTCTCAGAGCAGTTTACAGTCCCTTTCCTTTCCCTCCTCACAACAGACACCTTGTGAGGTAGGTGGGGCTGAGAGAACACTTTTGAGAACTGCCCTTGAGAGAACAACTCTGAAAAAATTTATGACTGACCCAAGGTCACACCAGCAGCTGCATGTGGAGGAGTGGGGAATCAAACCCGGTTCTCCCAGATTAGAATACCTGCTCTTAACCACTACACCAAACTGGCTCTCTTCACCCCCAAAGAGCAGTAATTACTACAGGTATATTTATCTATATTCTACTCTTCAGAGGATTTATAAATATAATCAAATCCAGATTATAGAATAAATAAAATAATAGGACAGCATCATGGTCAGTAGCACCAGAAAATAAATAAGCAGCAGTGGCAACAAAACCAAAATGTGTTTACACAGAAGAGCTATTAACATAATAAAAACAACATGAAATACAAAATGGAGCAAAGGTTGGCTGATACACAGTGATATGTTGTAAGGTTGTTACAACATGAAATGATCTTGCAATCAGTGAGCCTTAAAAACTTGAAAACTATGTACAGGAAGGGAAAGAACAAAATAGAGTTAATAGAAGGCTAAAGAAAGTCTAATAATGCTGTTGCTCTGATGGTGAGAGGCAGGGTCTCGGGCTGCCCTTTGTATCACCACTATTTACAAATATAGCAGCAGCAGCTGTGCCTTTCCAAAGGCAAAGTGGCCACTATGACCAAGTACTGCCTACCATCCTAAATTCTCATACTCCACTCCCTTGTCTCTCACAGCTGTGTGCCCCATCATGATCTTTAGATCCTCATTGGATTTCTGTATCACTAATACTGAAGGAAGACTTTCAGTAAATATTGTATTTCTTATAATATATGTTGCAATGATGTGGGAAGTTGTACCTGTCAGAATCTTTTCTCTGAAGCTCCTGGAGGAAAAGGAGCCCCTCAAACTATATTCCCTCAGTCTTTGCTCACAGTAATTCAGCTTACCTTGCCTGCCCTCTTCCTCCTGGTTAGGTACAGGTAGCTTCTCCTGTTCTCTGTCCCATTATGCCTTCTTTTGGTTGGGCAGGAGGGAGGATTTAACCTGAATCAGACCCTAAATATTTCACACGCTTTTCAGGATTCTTCATCAGCATTTATTTTTGGGCTCTGTGAACTTTGTACCCCATTTCACACTATCTTTGGAATAGATTTTCCATTCAGGCTTTAAATTTGCAAGGCCTCAGTGTGGAAGTAAATCTGCCCTTGGTGCTGAGTAAACAATAACAGACAGCCCAGAGTAGCTAGTATTGATCTAGCACCCTGGCCGCCAAGCCTGTCCTTGTTGATATAACC